TAAGTAATAAGAATTAACTCATTTATTCAGCTTAGAATGAAATTCGGTGCACACATAGTCATACACAAGGTCAATAAATAGCATATGCTAAATAAAGTTTTTCTCATTATTTGTGACGTATCAATGTGAAAATGACGTCACTATGTAGCTCACTTGTGACGAAAAATGGTTGTCTCTGTCGAACTAGTTCAACAAACGACTGTCCAATTTTTTTGTATATCTTAGAAACCCCTCTGCAGTATCATTTAATAATTTGTACACAGTTAATTAAGATGAATGAGTTCCTATAAATTCATTTAATGATTGGATTGATCGTTGTAGTGAAGGAAGGCAGATGGTTAAAAATGATACTTGTCATCTTGCCCAGTGAAAGCAAGTTTGAAAAGATATGCATTTTTAATTAAGCAATTTGCTATCAAAGACCTCCAATTTATGCTTTGAAAAATAGTTGAACATTTGAACAATAATATAATTTTTAAATACCTGAGATATCGTTTACTTTAGATTTTAATAGACATTCACTGTAACCACTTAAACTTCGTTGCCACGTATGGTCACCGATTTTTATGAAACGTCACCCATGCTTAGTGCTTGACACCAGAAACAAATATCAAACAAAATTGCGTTGCTAAGTGTCTTGGTTGCTATGGCAACAGCCGGAAAAGTTTGAAAAATCAAGATTTTCAGCCCCTTTAAATCTTGACTGTGGCTTAATAAAAACTAGAAAAAGCAAACAAACCATTCTCACAAAAACATGACACCTTGATGTCAATTATACTGTAAAGAAACTGGTAAGAATATATCTCTAAGTAAGTGGTTACCAAAGATACATTCGGAATGCATTTAAAATGCTGAAATATGCTGAAAAACACTCCGTATTCACTAATGTTGGGTGTTACATGCTCAAACTCAATCAACAACTTAAGAAAAACAATGAAAATGTTTGATCTTAAGTATATAAGAATAAACAATATTATTCTATAAATAACTTTTATGGTTGCCATGGTAACACAGTGTAACCCTGCAAAACCAGTTACTTAGATTAGATTAATGCTACTGTCTTGAGGAAAAACATGAAAATTCAAGACTGGCAAATATGCATCCTTAGGACCTTGCATCACCAAAACCATAAAAAATGGGTATAATTGCTACTTTGCAGTGTAACCATGGAAACAAAGTACCAGTGCTTAAAAGTGAACTATTTTTCGCTACATTAAGAATTAAATTGCAATGTAATCAAGAAACAAATTAAAGGACTCAGCTTGAATAGTACTTATCTGTTAGAACTGAAGTTGAATATCATATATTGATAAAATTTGATGAAGAAAACAACACTGTTGCTATGGTTACCAAGAATGGAAAATGTTTGATTTTGTGAACTTTATAACAATATTAAACCCTGTGTGTCAACTTCTTGCATCCACTTAGAGATTTGATGATAGTCAAAATTAAAAGTCAGGTTAGCTGTTAATAAATATCAATCATAAACGTTTTGGGAATCTACATTAAAGGGTACGTATCCAAGGAGAGAAAATATTTTTCAGGTTTTTAAGCATACATTTTCTGCTTATTTCCATAGCAACCCTATATTTAAAGAATCTAATCTGAATTTTTTTCAAATGGGAAAACTAGGAGCACACCAACATCTTTAAAAATTGATCATTAGTTATGAGTAAATGTGCTTTTTAAAAAGTTAAGATCAGATTTAAAAATACAGAGTGTTACTTTGAAGGCTCTCTGTGGTATAAAAACCTTGGCAACCATTGCCAACCAAAATGAAATATCATATTTTATTCTCGGTATATATTTCAAGTTTCTTTTTTCTATTATTTGGTCTCATTTCATCCTATAATTGCTTTTTATTTTTACGTGTATGACTTTATAAAATTCAATGAATATTTTTTTTACTTTTGAATACTTTGTTACCATAGTAACGTATGTAATAGTTGATTTACCAAACATGTTCATAATGCATTTAAGACATCTGACCTTCAACTTTTGGAAACAGTCATTGCCAATTGTTTGCTTTGCCGCAAATGTTAACTATTGGGCTCTATACGTGTTAAAAATGTCATTTTTTTAAATTTAAGACACGTTGCCATGGTAACTATAAAGCATAGCAACTAATTTTTGCCTGATTTCAGTTGAGGGTATCAATGACTTTTATCATAGAGAGTTTGGAGAAATTCTGAGACTATGCGTGCCACAGCTCCTATATAAAATTTCAAATCATTACAGAGTTTGGCTCTTAAACACATTAGATATGACAAAAAGGAGGCACCCATTCTATATCCACCTTGAATAAAGATCTCTTCCGAGACAGAAGATTTGTGTTTTGATGGTCGCCATGCTTATTTTTGGAAAGGATATTCTTATCCACAAATTCCGTTGCCGAGATTTGACCATTTCTGACATATGAACTGTTCTTGTCATAAAAATTAACATACCTGGAAAGAAATATAAAACTCAGAAAAATCTTTCAACTTTTGTGACAGAACGCTACGGAGGGGGTCACGTGACCGCCAAAATCACTTGATTCGCGCATGCGCAGAACGGCTGTTGATGTGCATTAAAATCGGAGAGGATTAATTCAAAACATAATCAACTTTGAAACCAAATATTCTTTCTTTTAATGGAAGTTATTCAATTAGTTTGCGAACTTTTTGATCACCCCTCGTAGTTTTTGCTATTCACCCTCGGGAATTTTTTTTTGCCACCAATTATGATTTCAAGGGATAAATCTATTAACTGATGATGTCAAAATGACTTCAGTAGCATTGTGACTTCATCAAGATATAGGATTATTCTTGTAGTATTATCTTACTAAAAAAAATCAAATCTCAAAAACTGTAATTATACATCAGTATAATAAAACATTTATTCACTGGTTGTGAGTGGGATAGCGCTTTCATCAAACCCTTGACAGGAACAGTTTCCTATCGCGGGTTTGATAAAAGGGCTATCCAACTCACAACCAGTGGATATTTTTCATCCGTGCAGGAGGATAAAAAGGGTTCCAATCACCTTGCCTATATACATGTATACAAATCAGCCGTGCTCTTGATTCAGTCATTTTGTCTATCTTATCTTAATCAGTACTATACATGACAGCGAATTTATCCTGATAATTTGACTTCCTTCCTTTCCTCCCTGTTTTCTTTCCTCCCTGTTTTTACCCGTTTTAAATGTCTTATCACCAATTCAAAAATTACCTCAATATTTTATTTCTACCTGAGGTTTGATTGATGTGTCTAAAAATAGACTTCCGATCAGTATATCTAAGGCGGGTGAATGATATTTACCGAGTTTTTAAATTGAGAGAAAAAGGTTTATAATATGTATTTCTAAATTTTACATATTTTGTTGTACATTTAACTCAATTTCACGAGAACCCTTTTTCGACACCGGTTTTTCTATGTAATTCTAACTAAGCTATGGACGGATGAGGTGTATCTAAATAAACTTGGAGAATTGTACCGTTATATTTTCTGTGCAGTATGGAATTAAAAAGCACCAGTTTGACGTAAGAGGTTTTTTTTAATGCCCTCCACCGTGAAATGTTGATACTTGAAGCCTTAATTGGGAAGTTTATCTAGGATCCTCTACAGGTGAGTGTATGTCTTATATACTCTATATATAGGTAATTTACACCTGTACGTGTATATATCGTATTCTTTAAAGAGTACCGAATATAGATGAGATAGATATTATACATATCTTAATATTCATTTTTTTTATTATGAAATAATTGAATTAAATTTGACATATGCGCCAATAAATTGAAATTGAGGCATGATTATCATATCTAGTGTAGGGGTCTGTCACAGGTAGCTTTAAATAATTTCCACATCTTACAGGTAAAATTTAAAAGCCGATTTCTAAAAACTATAAAATATATGTTTTATATTTTTCTCATTTATGAATAAATAATATGAAACGGGAAAATATGATATCTCATTTTGGAATAAAGATTAAAAAAAAGACGAAATGGGATATTTCTGTGAACTTAGCGTTTACGCGGATCCCCTTGAGCCCCCGATATTTGTTATGAATGAATATTCCAAATCGATTGCTGCATTCCCCTTGAAGTCCCCCGATAATTGTTATGAATGAATATTCCAAATCGATTTCTTTTTATCAGATGAAATGCACGATGCACTGTAAACATTTTAAACAAGCCTAGAGGGGAATTTAATTGAGTGTAATATTACATTACGAATAGTATAATTTGAATAAAATCAGAATAAGATATTGTCCCTTCTTGAAGTGGGATACATATGCAAACCTTCCATATTGTAAGTCTTAAAATCAATGAAAATTCTATGTATAAAAAGCGGTACCAAATATTTCAGTTTATATTGAGCCCCTCTGAGAGAGAGAAAAAGTGGAAGCATTTTGCGTTAACATCCCCTCCTTTCATCACCAGCCCAGTTATATATTTACACTGTAGCACCTGGACAATATATAACACACTATCTATATTTTTTCATGGAAACAATTATATATTTTTGCTTCTAGCTATGGAATATATCTTGAAGTTCAGTTTTACATATGTATTTCACCAGTTCGAAATTCGGAATTCGGAAAGGACCTTTATTTATATTTTGTTGAAGAAAAAATCTTTTGATTGTAATTTATATAAAATAAATTAATTAAAAAAAATCAAATTGTAGCACGATTTGCAGTCATTGAATTATTATCGTGTTTGATTTCAGACTTCTATCTTGAATCATTGCTGGATCCCCCCCCCCTTTTATCACAGATGACGTATAATAATCAATCCCCCATTAGACTGAGATAAAGCATCTCCTATAATCTCTCCGAGCGTTTTCTTCTGGAACTCGAGTTTAACTCTAGATACCTAACCCTTTAATGCGCACGCATGTATTAAGATAAACAGGTAAATTACCTCTAGAAACTCTCCAAAATGGAGCTTGTTTCCAAACAAATAATTCAAGAATTGATCATTTCAGATGAAAATGAATACGAAACACTTTTGATCAAGCAGACTTGGTCTTTCCACATCCTCGCCCTTGTCCTTAATCGGGAACGTTGTCATTTTCCAAGGTTAGGCGGATTTTCCGAGGATATCGTCCCTCAACTTGACGATAAACAGTTTCTCAGACATTTTCGTGTTAGTCCTGAAATTTTTCATATTATATTGAATAGTATCATACATTCACTTGACGATAATCCATGGCCAGGTGGTTCCGAACCGATCTTACCAGAGAAACAGCTCCTTATATTCCTTTGGTATATGGCAAACCAGGAATCCTTACGAGAGGTGGGGAATACCTTTGCAGTTGGTGTTACGACAGTCCACGAGATAGTTAGCCGAGTTTCAACGGCTGTTAATGAAAACCTAATCGAGGCAAGCATCTCATATCATTTAGGCCAAAAAAATAATAATATTGTTTCTTGCTACCAGCCTGAAAATAAATATGGTTGGCCACGGTAGGGATATAATTTTCTTTTTCTATTTTCTTTTATTTTTTCCAACAGTGTTTTTTGTATATGAACTGATACAAGATCAAATGAAACATGGCATGGGTCAATATTGCCTTTTAATATTAAATTTCATGCATTTTGATGAACAACTCAAGTGTATTTTTTGAAAGGCCATATCTAAAAATAGTATTTTATGAAATACCACTTTTAATAGTATATATTTTTTTTCAGTTTTGAAACATAAAATTCACAAAATTCCCGATTTTCCCCCAAAATAAAAAAAAAAACTTTAGGGTCGGATGCAAAAAAAGAGTAGGTCGGGTAGCAGGAAACAAGACTATTATTTCTTTTCTTTCTTTTTTTTTTTTTTTTTTTGGCCTTAATACAGGCACCTTTTCATGCAGCCATTATTTTTTTTTTACATAAAATTTATACAAATCTTACCACCTTCATTATTATGTAGGTTATAAATTGGCCTGATGCTCAAACGCAAAACGTACTGTCTCGAGAGTTTCAACTTAATTCTGGCATACAAGGCATCATTGGCTGTCTTGATGGATCTCACATTCGCTTGAGTGCAGCACCTGGCGGCGACAACGATTATTACAACCGGAAAAATTTTCCATCAATTCAATTACAGGTGAAGATGATGCAATTTTTACGATTTATCCATTTTTGTAAATGACAGAATTCAATTAAATTTTGGTAATATGGTAAGGAGGATATATTTTTTCTCTTTCAAACGTTTTGCAAAGTACCCATTATTTTAACAGGTTGTTGCTGATAGTGACATGCTTATACGTGACGCATATACTGGATGGCCTGGGTGTACGCATGATGCCCGCGTACTCCGTAATTCGTCATTGTTTGATAAAGCTGAAAATGGACAGAGTGTGACTCAAGGGAAATTCATTGTTGGAGACAGCGCCTATCCTCTGAGAAACTGGCTGGTAACTCCCTTTCGAGACAATGGTCGGTTGAATGCTCAACAAAGGCGATTTAATAAAAGACTGTCTTCTGCAAGACAGGTTGTTGAGCGTGTATTTGGGCATCTAAAAGGAAGGTTCCGTAGGTTGCGAGAATTACCAATTCGAAAGTTGGACCGAATAGTCAGGCTCATTATTTCAGGATGTATACTACATAATTTGTGCATACTACATCATGATGATGTTGAGGATTTCATTGAAAATTATCAGGATGGCCACCCAAATGCCTATCCAAATATCTATGCTAACAGAGGGGATGGAGTAGCACTTCGGCAGCAAATCATGAACACCATGCAGGCGTGAACTTTTTTCGTGTCCAAGACAGTGAATTTGTTTTCTATTTGGTGTGATAAACAATCAAACACTTTATGAAACATTATAACTTTTATATATGTATGTTCATGTACTCCTTGTAACATAACACATAATAATAATAAATAAAATTAATAATGATCAATAAGGAAATTGAAGTAATATTCACTTGTGCATGAAAAATCACATATCTGGTAAAAGGTCTGCCCTAGCTATTCGCTAACAACATAAAATAATAAAACTTCTTTAAAACAAAAAACAAGAACAATTAGAACTTGACTCAAAAAATAAAAATAAATGTTAATCAACACGTGGTATGCCTTCACTTTTTGTCCATTGATTTCTCCATAATATCTAACATCCGATCAATCCGTCTCATCTTATCGTCATGGTGGCGTTCAATTGACTGCATTAAATCTCTATTTTGTTCCTGTATATTTTCAATCAATTTTGTTGTTTCATTAATTTTCCGTTTCTTGGACTTAACCTTCACAGCTTTCTTGGAAGGAGATGATGGACTAGAAGTTGGCGTTTCTGAAGTTTGTGGTGGACTCCCATCAGGGGAAACAGCAAGTTTTGTTTTTCGTCCAGTATCAAAAGAAACAGCAACTTTTGTCGAAGCTTTACTGCCATACACTTCACCGAATCTTTCAAAATATTTCCATGTTTGCGGACTATTGCCCGTTTTACTGTTCGCGTCATTCACTTCTTTGTATTTTTTTTCAAGGATTTCCATTTGTTAATAAGCTGCAATTTGGAAACAACAATTCCCTTTTTTTTCATTTCATTTGAGATCTCTTGCCATAAACTGTCATGTGACTTTACGCCTAAAAATTTATCTTCCCTCTGAAGTCTAAGATCGATCAAGAGCCTTTCCTCACTCTCATTCCACAAATGCATCGTCTGTAATTAAATTATGTTTTTCTAATAACAGAGAATTAAATTCTTCATAGTTTACAATAATGTCATTAGATATTCTTATTTTGTTTTTTTGTGTAGCAGAATCTGAATCTTCAATGACCGAATTTGTCCATAATGACGAAAAACATTTTGTACTTTCACACGTTGACATTAAAAGAAATTCTAAATTTTTATCTGGTAAAAACTTAGGCGAATGATTTTCTTGAAAGTTCCAATCTACCTGCGAATCTGAGCTGCTTGAGGAGGCTGTGTTTGAAGAGGATGAGGGTGTGTTGTCATGTGAACATTCTTTTTGGTTGTCGTCAGATGATGACATTATTGCATCTTTAATGGCTTTTTTGGTTTCTGGATCTAATATGAAAGTTAATAAAGTTAATAATTTTTTTTTAGATTGTAAATGACAGAAATTTATATATTAAATTGTATACTTCAATTGAAAACCTTGAAATAATTAGCCTGGTAAATTCAATAAAGGCATTTCTTCTTTATAAGAAATACATGTATACTGTCAGCCGAAAACTAATCCAATATCTCACATCACTATGCAGAAGACATTTTACTTTCTAAAACTTGTGCATTTACTTATTCACTTTTATTAAAACTAAAAATTATCATTTAATATATATATATATATATATTTTTTTTTTTTGAAAATGGGCATGTTGCTTCGTTAGATATTTGATTTTTTGTGTAGAAAAAAAGGCCATTAATTAAATGTTTTTTTAAATAAACAGGTTGTTGCAGACTGTGATATGTTGATGAGATGCATATACGGGCTGGCCTGGGTGCACCTACGATGCAAGCGTCCTCAAAAATTCCTCTTTGTTTGACAAAGCCGAAAACGGACAATGTGTTGTGGGTGGAAAATTTATTATTGCAGACAGTGCCTATCCATTGAGGAATTGGTTGATCACACCTTTCCGAGATAATGGAAGACTTAACGCACAGCAACGCAGATTTAATCAGATGTTGTCCTCGGCCAGACAAATTGTTGAACGGGTATATGGACACTTAAAAGGAAGGTTTCGGAGACTTCGAGAATTAACTATTCGAAAGCTATCTCGTATAGTTTCACTGATTATTTCAGGATGCATTTTGCACAATTTATGTGTTTTGCATCATGATGACGTTGAAGCCTTCATAGACAATGATGACGATGGGTATCCTAATGCCTACCCCAACATTTTTGTTGATGGAAGGGATGGCGCCTTATTCAGACAACAGTTACTTAACACATTGCCATTGTAACTGATTTCATTGACACTGGTTTTAAAGTGATTATGATTTTTCTACAGTATATTGCACATAAATATATGTTCAAGATATTAAATAAAAGATTTCTGAAATGTTGTCAATCTTTTATTCACTTTTTGTGAAAGAACAAATCAAATATAGAGAAAAAATTGTCAACAATACAATGCACATTTAAACAAAATAAGAGGCCAAGGGTATAATTTTGATTGCTAAGACATGTCTTTATATCTTATAAGTTTGATTTGTTGAGCCCCATTCAAATGTATTTTCACTTGAAAAATTGGTTAAGGCTTCTTTTCACAGCAACAATAGTTTGAAATGTCATCATATTTGAATCACAAAAGGTATAAAAACCCCTGCAAAAATTAAAATAAATGAAATCAATGGTGTGGATTTCACCAAAATTTATGCGAAGTGAAAAATGCACAAAACCATGAATTTGTTGATTCAAATAAAAACACTTGTACATTGTGGAGATAATTATTTGTCCAAAGACTTCTCCATTAGCTCCAGCATACGATCGATCGATGCGTCGCATTTTGTCTTCATGCTGTGTTTTCATGGAGTTCATAAATTCTCATTAATTTTGGTGCTATCGGAAATCTTGCGTTTGGTAGATTTTAAATTCATAGTTTTGGTACGAGTTGTGGATTTGGAATCTGTGTCACTTGCTGATGTTGACTGCTTTTCTTCTTCAGGAACTATGTTTCATCCTTGTCCAATGCTCTGTCGATTTTGAGTTTTTCTCTAGGGCGTCCTGTGTCAAAGGAAATGGCTACCTTTGTGGAGGCCTTATTGCCATAGACCTCGCTGAACTGATCTAAATATTTCCAGGAATGTTTCTTATTGCCAGTTTTGTTATTTTCATCATTTATTTCCTTGTATTTCTTTTTCAATGCCTTCCATTTATTGATCAATTGTGTTTTGGAAACTTGGATATTATTTTTTTTCATTTCATTTGCTATTTCTCCCCATAATGAGTCATGAGATTTTGTGCCTGTAAACTTCTCCTCTCTCTGTAGCCTTAAATCAATTAAACATTTTTCTTCATTCTCCGTCCACACGTGCATTGTACTCTGTAAGTAAATTTAGTTTTTCAGTAAGAAGACTGTGAAACTCGTGACAGTTTAAAACAATTTCATTAGATACTCTCACTCTGATTTCAGAACAATTTAAATCAACATCTTTTTCAGATCTAGACTGACTAGAGAATGAATTTGTGAATAGGGAAGAAAAGCACTTCGTACTGGCACATGTTGACATTAAGAAAAAGTCGAGACTTTTTTTCAGGAAGAATTTTCTCTGAATGATTTTCAGCCAAATTCCAGTCTACCTGTGAGTCGGAGCTGGAAGTTGAGACACTGGAGGGTGTAGAACGGCCAGATACAAATTCCGGTGAAGCTGAGCGTGACTCTGAAGGCCTGGGGATCTCACATCCGCTGAAAGAAGTTGATTCCCCTGAAGTTGATGCACGCATTGCCTCCCTGATGGCCCTTTTTGTCTCTGGATCTATGCATGAAAATGAAGTTATTCATAATCATATTAAAAAAATACATAAGCTAAATTTAAGAAAGATTTTATTTAATCTAAACAAATTCCGAATCCAAATAATCTGTTTTCCAATGACTTAAATATTTTATGGATCTTTTTATTTTTCAACAAGTAAGTTTTTCATTTAAAACAATTTTAGTAAAATAAGTAAATAAAATTAATGATGATGTTTCTTCAGTCGCATAAAATCTGTTACTGACTGAGATATATATTTACGAAAAAATATTTAAATTGTATACATACCACCATCTTCTGACAGAAAAATTGCTGCCAAACTCTCGTCCAACAAACAGTATTGCCCGTCTATCTGTATGTGTACCCTAAAAATTGATATAAACAAGATCTACATTTAAAATTTATTAGTTATAGAACTCACGTGTTTCTTGCTCAGATCTTCATGCATTTAATACAGAAAACTTAATATTAAACCTATTCATTAACGATTTTAATTTTTTTTATGTGACAGCTCTATTCAACTCTTAATTAAATAACAGGGACGTAGCAACAGGGGGGGGGGGGGGGGCAGACCCCCCCCCCCCACTTTTTTCCCCAACCTTACTTATACTATAGGAAATATTAATTAAAAGTCTGGTTGCCCCCCCCCCCCCCCCCACTATTGCTGATGTACGGAAAATATAGTATAGGAATTGTACTGAAAGTAGTGGCCATCTAGAAAAATGTAGAAAAAGTTGGCCTCTACCCCTCCCCCCACACACTTACACACAAACACACACACACTCACACGAAATAGGATTTTCGACTTCGGGCAAATCCCCCCTTTCTTTTTGCTTGTTAACTTTTTCAGGTAAGTAAAATAAAAGATTTCCTCTGGCTGACCCCCCCCCCCCCACTTTCAAAAACGATGCTACGTCCTGAATAAGCCAGGAAAACGGCAGATTTTTTCGGACTACAGTTCATAACAATTAAATATCAGAGTACTAGACGGCAATTACGTTGCTGATCGTTTTTTGAATACATAAATATTTTAAATAATATTACAGTTCTGTATTACGTTTTAAAAATCTTGAAAATCCCTTTGCCGAATCGAAATATAAGAAAAAAGATATTACATGTGGTCTTTACCGCCCGACGCCATCTTTACTTTCTCAAACCCAGCATCGTATGAGAGTTGAACTCGATTTAATCCCGCGTTCAAACTCTCGCTGTTTAGGTTGAACTCTCGTGACCCGAGTCGAAACTAGAGTTCGAGGTGAAAACGCTCTCCTTTATTGAGTAAGAGACAGACCCGGTAAAGTGCAGTTGTCCCTTGAATTTATATTTGATGTTATCATGAAATGATTATCTTGTAATTTAATTTGAGAAATACTTTTTTATTCAGGGGATAGGTAAGAAAATAAAAACTTTTTTTTCCATTTAAAGTTCTAATTCAGATATATCTCAATCTTCAAAATAAGTTATGTTTCTTTTTAAGGCAATTCAAAAACAGATATATGGATCCTTAACTTTTGACAGGAACTGGATAGATTATAGAAATGGGTTTGGTTCCCCGGAAGCGGTCGTCTGGAGTGGTAAATAGTGGTCGTTGATCCCGTTCCAAATAAGGGCAAAAACTATTTTGAAAATATTTAATAGTAGTTGTGAATGAAGGACTAAGTTTTAGGTCTAGTTGATATGTATTGATAAAAATAACGGGTGATATTTGTTGACTGGGTGTTGTTGAATTCATAAATCTGTTTTTTAGTCCACTTATTTTTTTTCAAACTTATTTCTTAGAATATGTTTTTTATATATATTTAAGGGATAAATAACTTGATTCATGTTTTTCCTAAAAGAAACGACAAGAAGTTTTCTAAAGCTGATTTAGTTCATGTTAATTAAAATAATTTAAAGAACACTGAGACTAAGAAAAAACATGCGTTTTTTTTAATTGACTCCCTTTTTGGTTTGAATATATAAAATGTATTTTTTATTAAATATATTCTTTTTCAAATAATTTACTGAATAATGTTTTCGAAACTTTACTCACGTTATTCTTCTGTTCATGTGATTGCAGCGTTATAATTACTGATCGATTTCAATAAATCTTTTTACAGGAAATGATGTCATTCATCAGTTAACAAAAGAAAACAACTCATCCCTTTATGTCTCCATCACTCTCCAGAATGGTACTACTCTGTATGAAATGTACGACCGATTCTCTGTCTCCTCGGAAACATGGAATTATGAACTGTTTCTTGCAGGACCTGCCACGGGGACTTTGGGTAAGTATTTTCATGTCAATTTCTTAAAACTAGATAAACAATAGGTACCTGTATATCATTATAAACCTCTTTTCCATGAAATATTATTAAATTGCTGTATATAGAGTCAATGATACACGAGTTTGTTCTAATACTCTGAATTTACTGATTTAATGATTCATAATTAAATAATTAATAATTAAAGATTTCAATATTTCACTTATATGGAACATTGAATTTGACATTGCTAAGTAGAAGAAAAATTAAGTTATATATTCCAAAAGCAAACAAAATTATGCCGTAAAAATAGAATTATTTTGTAACTAGCATATCCAGCTACCTTTAAAATTAAATACATTTTTCGCCTAAATAAAATATTGCCGACTCGGCGTTGAACAATTTATTAATAAATCAAAACAATTTAATCTTCTATTTACTGCCTATTCCCTATTAATTGCTTGGGGGTGAAAAGGTACCATCATATTTGTAATGTGAATACTTAGTGTATGTTGCATCCCTTTACATATGTTGCATCCCTTTACAGTAATTTACAGTAAATTGTAATAAATTTAGAATATATACAGGTACATTAATTCAAACCTTGTTTTATTTTTAAAATTTTTGCTGCGTATTGCATTATATACACTTTAAAGACAAAGTATCTGCCAGATCCTTTACAGCTCACCTGACCAGAAGGCTCAAGTGAGCTTTTCTGATCAAAATTTGTCTGTTGTCTGTCGAAGTTGTTTTCGTTCTTGTCGTTGTAATCTTTTCACATTTTAATCTTCTTCTACAGAATCACTGGGGCAATTTCAAGAAAACTTGCCACAAGGCATCCTTCGGTGAAGGGGATTCAAGTTTGTTCAAATGAAGGACAATGCCCTCTTTCTACGCAGCGCTGGTAAGGATAACTATGAGAAATCAGCGGAATATAGACGTGCAAAAAACGGGAACATTTTAAAACAGAATTAATTTTATAAATCCGTTTTATTTTCACAAAACTTAAATACTTATTGAAATAACATAGTATACCCTACTCTGTATACATGTACTTAATTATTAATTCTGGCCCTATCAAGGGACAGTCACGTGATAAACTCATAGTACATGTATGTGTACTGAATGGAGATCAAAAACAATTTTCAATATCACAATGTCATAACGTAGTTGAAATTAAAAATTAAAGTTATCATTTAGATCTGTTCACTTTGTTATTTCGACAGTGCTGTTGCTTTACATGAAATTCGCTTTTTATTAGTAAAAAAAAATCATTTAAATCGACTCATGTCGAAGTGTGCATGATCTTTACGAAGTGTTTTGTGTACTTATAAAGTCATGCTCTTGATTTAAAGAACGCAGTGTAGATTCAAATTTGTTCAAAACATTACCCCGGGGGTAGGGTTGGCCACAATAGATGATCAAAAGTTTTGTATACGAATATATAAGAAAAATCTTTCAATATAGTAAATTCATTATTAGTCACATTTATATGGAAGCATCTGCAAGTGGTGTACATTCAAGTTTATACAAATCATGACGCCTCAGGATAGGTTTGGGCAACAAGTGACGACCAAGGCCTAACATAGGAGTATATAGGAATTTTTGAAAAAAAAACTCTTCTTAATAACATCAAAGCCATTGTTGGTCAAATTTATGTGAAAGAATCCACAGGTAGTGTAGTTCAAGTTTGTTTAAATCATTACCCTAAGGGATAGGGTGTAGCCACAATGCATGATGAAAGTTTATCATAGGAGTATATAGGAACAATCTTCATATATCTCTTTCCTAAAATACATTATTGTTCATATTTATGTGAAAGCGTCAAGAGGTAGTGAAGATTCAAGTTTGTTCAAAATCATGACCCCATGGGTAGGGTAGAGCCACAATGAAATATCAAAGTTTGTCATAGAAGTATATGCAAAGCTTTTTCTTTAAAACAGCAAAGCCATGGCTTGGTCATGGTTATCTTATTTGGAAGCATCCTCAGATGGCGTAGAGTCAATTTGTACCTCCTCCCCCTTAACCCCCTTGTCTTTGAGGTCTGGACCATTCACGCATTTAAGCTCTAATACTAAACTGATTTTTGCTTTTTTCCATGCCATAGCACTCAGGTGAGCAATTTGCCCCCTGGGTCTCTTGTTCAAATATTCCTTTTCCAGCTATCTTTATAAAAACACTTCTTCTTTTAAATTTAACTCTTAAGTAAACAAACCAAGCAAAGATTTATCGTCACATGAAAAAGGATGCAAAATGAACAACACATATTTTTTTGGGTATTGTATTAAAAGATTTACACGTCATATAAACACCGATTTTTGCAGAAAAAAGAAAAGAAAAAAAAAAGACGAAATGATTAAATGATTATTGACACATGGAGTGTAATAAAAATATTTTTCCCACAAAATTTTACAAATTTTAACTGACTATATTCTGTTTTGAATATTTAAAATGAATGTTGTATTTGATATATTTCTTTTCAAATAATTTACTCAATAATGTTTTTTTTTTATTTTACTAACGTAATTCTTCTGTTGGTGTGTTTGCAGAATTAGAATAATTGATTGATTTCTGTATATCTAAAATATAGGCCATGACGTAATCCATCAATTAACCAAAGAAAACACCTCATCCCTTTATGTGTCCATCACTCTCCAGGATGGTACAACTCTGAATGAAATGTACGACGGATTCTCTGTCTCCGATGAAGCAGAAGAAATCAGCTGTTTCTTGCAGGACCTGCCACAGGGACCTTAGGTAAGAGTATTCAATTTAACTTCTTAAAACTCGAAAAAAAAATTACGTATTTCAGAAATAAGGTATCATTTTAAACATCTATAAATACGGGTTGGAACGAGATAAAATTTCATAAATCCCGAAGGACTTTATGATGAATTAACTTGTACCAACCCGTATTTATAGCCCAATAGATGTTTTAAAATTATATCTTATTACTTATATTTACATTTGTGACTTACTCATACTTTAAATTTGCCTGATTGTGACTTTTAACGTATGAAATGCACTATTTTTCATACCCAAAGATAATACTTTCCTTGTTTTACAAAAGAAGTCGTAATAAAAACAACAATTGATTAATATCCGATAAAGAATAAGACCTTTTTCAGGAATAATGATGGCTGAAGTGTGTAAACAGTATATACATGTAGACAAGCATGTCCGCGGGAAATCATAGACAGCAAATATTAATGAAAGTTTAATATTATAGAGTTATTGAACTTATATAGGTTAATATTGGCACAAGTGGGCTGTTCAAATGCACGAGCTTGCCAATATTCATCAATATAAGTTCAATAACTCCTTTATCATATAGCTAAAACATTTCCACTTCAGTTTCAGTTTTAATAATGTAATTAACATTATTGTCATAACTTTTATTAGTAAACAAAATATATGAATTTCCAGCTGTATTTCAACTGACGCAAGATATAGCGTGTATAACTTAAAATAAATACTTTCTCTCTTTACATGCAAATCCATCTGTCTCAATGCACTTCAGTATTATTATAGACTAAACTGAATATAAATATAATTGAATCCATAACCTCTATGATATATTTCCTGTACATCTATAGGAGAAGTATGTTAGACACAGGTTATCCTTACCACGATCTGCCTGGGATGGACTTCTCCACCCCAGACAGTGATAATGACAGGTTGACTGGAGATGATCTATGTGATTCCTTTTGTTTAACTTTACAGGAGACCGTATGTTAAACACAGGGACCTTTTACACAGTTCTGTCTGGGATGTCCTTCTCCACCAACTACAGGGACAATGACAGGCATAGTTCTGGTAACTGTGCTGCTTCCAGTGGCCGTAGAGGAGGCTGGTGGTTTAATGCCTGTAGCCACGCCTTTCTTAACGGTCAGTGGTCCCCGGGAGACTGGCAAAGACCCTGGTATCCCACAGTGACGAGTAGGACATCAGTGAAGGGGACCACCATGATGATCAAACGTCATTAGGTAAATATCATTGAATATTAATTACCAGATTTTTTTTCTTTTTGAATTTCTATGAAAAAAATTTAATGGTTATCAGAGCATGATGCAGAGGGTTTTTTGTTTTTTTTTTTTAAAAGAAAAATGTGCTTTTATTTCTGTAAAGCATTACTTTGATTATTATTATTATATTATTTTACAGATGACCGACCACCCATCAATCAGAAAAATCATTTATGATAAAGGAGATGGTTTTTAATTAATCTTCATCACGAGGTCCTTTTTAAAAAAATAATGTTTGACATGAAGTGAGAACTCTTGCAACATGGTTTCAATAAAGGCGGTGTACTATTTTTAAAACCAATAAATTATTGTAATTTTTACTATCAAATGTATCTAGTAAAAGATGTATATTATATGTGTTTTATTTCGTTTCATTTTCAAACACTGATGAATGATGATGTCTGGACGGATAATTAGGATGTAGACTGCTTTATCGTTTAACCTATTACAGTTGAACATGTATAGTCTGACACACGGTCAATACACTTTACTACGATTTCCGCCAATCAATTTCATTTCTCATTTATACTTATTCCACCATCTTTACACGAAATTCTACATGTTGTTCATTCTGACACATAAAATTGTAATCTGCTCAAAGTGCATGTCGGGTAAGACAGGTTTCATTATATTTAAGATTTTAAGATATATAAAACAAATAATTATGTATATTTGATTTCATGTTTTGCAACACAATACATGTAAGAAGATGTGGAGATAACGAACGGTATTCAATCTCAAAGTCCATGAAACAATACAAAAAAGAGCAGAGCAAACATTTCATCATTAAGCTTCTCTTAGGAAAACCCTTCATCTTTTTCCATGCATGCAGTATTTTTTGTTATTGTAGGTTTTCCTGGTGGGTAAAATGCCTTGTTGTAAATTTTCTATTTACTCCCACCCAGTAAATTCAAAATGTCCATGGGCCACATCGCTCACCTGAGCACTAAGGGTAGGAAAAAGTAGAAAATGACTTTTTATTGTAAAGTTTAAATCCAAAAGTAGTCCCATGACTAATCAAGGATTTGCTATTTATTAGAAAATGTCTTTAAAAACTTTGGTCGGCCATTTTGGCCCCGCCCTACCCCTGGGGGTCATGATTTGAACAAATTTGAATCTACACTACTTGAACATGCTTCAATATAAATATGATGAATTATGGCTTTGTCATTCTTGAAAAGAATTTTAAAAGAATTTTCCTATATATTTCTATGTAAAACTTTGGTCGGCCAGTTTGGTCCCGCCCTACCCCCAGGGGTCATGATTTGAACAATTTTGAATCTACTCTACCTGAGCATGCTTCCATATAAATATGATGAATTATGGCTTTGTCATTCTTGAGAAGAAGATTTTAAAAGAATTTTCCTATATATTTCTATGTAAAACTTTGGTTGGCCATGTTGGCCCCGCCCTACCCCAGGGGGTCATGATTTGAACAAACTTTAATCTACACTACCTGAACATGCTTCTATGTAAATATGATGAATTATGGCTTTGTCATTCTTGAGAAGAAGATTCTTAAAGAATTTTCTAATATATTTCTATGTAAAACTTTGGTCGGCCATTTTGGCCCCGTCCTACCCCCAGGGGTCATGATTTGAACAAACTTGAATCTACACTACCTGAGCATGCTTCCATATAAATATGATGAATTATGGCTTTGTCATTCTTGAGAAGAAGATTTTTAAAGGGTTTTCCTATATATTTCTATGTAAAATTTTGGTCGGCCATTTTGGCCTCGCCCTACCCCCAGGGGTCAAAATTTAAACAAGCTTGAATCTACACTACCTGAGCATGCTTCCATATAAGTATGATGAATTATGGCTTTGTCATTCTTGAGAAGAGGATTTTTAAAGAATTTTCCTACATATTTCTATTGAAAACTTTGGTCGGCCATTTTGGCCCCGCCCTACCCATGGGGGTCATAATTTGAACAAACTTGAATCTACTCTACCTGAGCATGCTTCCATATAAATATGATGAACTAGACATCATTGAGATGGTGGCCATCTCAAAGGGCCCCGCGTTCAACAATGAATATGAAAATGTAAGGTAGTTTAAAAGGGATTATTTTGAAGAGGAACATTTGTGTTATACAGTAAAAGTCATTTAGTACGACTTCACCGATACTGCAAATTTACTAATATTTATCGAAGTTATCTTGTATCCAGAGTTATATAAATTTGCTGAAATTAAAGGCAAAGAATTATGCACCAAAAAAAGATTTTAAACAGAAAGGGTAATTCTGACCATGACCTAGAAACTTTGACCAAGATCACTGCACATCCATTGACCAGTGGATCTCTCTGAGTGAAGTAATAGCTAGATTGGGCCAACGAGAGAGAAGATATACTCCGGACTAGGATTTTTCATATAATTCTGCTATGACCTCGACCTTTGACCTAGAAACCTGGTTCAAGGTCACTGCACGCCGGTTACCCAAAGACACTCTCTGGGTGAAGTATGAGGCAGTTTGGGCCAAGGAGAGAGATGATATGCTCCAGACAAGGATTTTTCATATAATTCTGCTGTGACCTTGATCTTTAACCTAGAAACCTGGTTCAAGATCACTGCACACCGGTTACCCAAAGGCACTCTGTGGGTGAAGTATGAGCCAGATTTGGCCAAGGAGAGAGAAGATATGCCCCGGACAAGAGATCTCGGACGGACGGACGGACAGACTGATCACTATAGGGCGCCCGCCAAGCGGGGCCCTAATTACGGCTTTGTCATTCTTGAGAAGAATATTTTTAAAGACTTTTCCTATACAGGTAACTCTCGATACCTCGAAGTCCGCGGGACTGGGGAAAAACTTCGAGAGATCAAGAGTTCGAGTTTTCAAGAGTCCGGAATTTTCCGGGTTCGTTTGGCACGTTTTAAAATTAGTCTTACCGGATATAATGATTTTCTTGTAGTGCTTACTGTGCTACCTTTTCACACGTGTTTTTCATAAAACAGCGATATGATTTCGTATTTTAGGTGAACATTTATTAATCTGAATAAAGCTAAAATTGTACATCGTCATTCTATGTTTATTATTTTTATTCTTTGTGATACGGACATCATACTACGCATTTTACAGCGCCGCGTAGTACATAGCATTTTGAATTTTCCAAACACGTGCAATGAACAAAGTTCTGTAATACAGTAATTATTTGTCCATTAAATGTCGTCATATTGACACTGAGGCTGTTTCTAGATTTTCATATTTCGTTAAACTTTGACAGTGACTCGAAATAAAACTAAATTTACTTAGCGTTTTGTCTTGTAATCTGCAATTTCAATTTCTCAGTGCGTTTTTAAATTATCTTAATACAGTCGATGATAATTATTTTAATAGCATATAGGCAACATAAGATTAATTATACATTGAAAATCAATTATCACCTTGCAGTATAAGTATCACCTGAATAAACATCCCGTTTCACGAGACCCGCGTCTTCTGCCTGGGGCCATTAAATGTCCAGGTAAAGTTGCTAATTATGTAACTTGTATACACGTAGCCACTTCGAGGTATCGAGGGTAAATTTCAATTGAATAATCATAGCGGGACTGCATTTTGACTTCGAGGGATCAAGGTTTTCGAGAGATCAAGAGTTTGAGAAATCAGGGGTAAATTTGCTTAGTTATATAGGGAAAAAAAAGGGACCGGAGACTCACTTCGAGTGATCAGAACTTCGAGAGATCGAAAATCGAGCCATCAAGAGTTACCTGTATATTTCTATGTAAAACTTTGGTCGGCCATTTTGGCCCCGCCCTACCCCCAGGGGTCATGATTTGAACAAACTTGAATTAACACTACCTGAGCATGCTTCTATATAAATATGATGAATTATGGCTTTGTCATTCTTGAGAAGAAGATTTTTAAAAAATTGTCCTATATATTTCTATGTAAAACTTTGGTCGGCCATTTTAGCCCCGTCCTACCTCCGGGGGTCATGATTTGAAGAAACTTGAATCTACACTACCTGAGCATGCTTCCCCATAAGTTACATCTTTCCAGTAGTTCTTGAGAAAAATTTTTAAAATATGCCATCAAATTCTCATTAATTCCGAATTATCTCCCCTTTAATGAGGGTGTGGCCCTTCATTTGAACAAACTTGAATCCCCTTCACCCAAGGATACTTTGTGGCAAGTTTGGTTGAAAATGGCCCAGCGGTTCTTTAGAAGAAGTCGAAAATGTGAAAAGTTTACGTCAACGACGACAACAACGACAACAACGACTACAACGACGACAGACAACGGACAAATTTTAATCAGAAAAGCTCACTTGAGCCTTCGGCTCAGGTCAGCTAAAAAAAAAAAGAAAGAAAGAAAATACGGTTTAACTGGACATTTTCGTGCACTAAAATGTTATTGTTCTTAAAATATTATGAAATTGGCTTTAACAATAGTTGGATAAATGAATATGATAAATCATGAGAGAATATGGCATGGAGGATGAACATTTAAAAATATGATGGCATTAATTTGGAACATTTCTAAGTTTAATCCAGAAAAGCCCCAGAATGATTTACCGGTATTTCTTTGCTTATTTTACTTCAGAAAATAGTGTCTGCCACAGTCTCCCGCTTCAATATTTGGATATATTCTGTATACTTCTTTGAAAAATCTTAAATTTCTTATATCACTTTCATATTTTGAAAAGTACAGGGTTTAATTTGTATTGAAAGTGTACCTTGTTGTTTACAACATGACAAAAACATAAAGAATCCTTTGGACTGAAAACTGACAAGCACCATAACAGTGCTTCTCCTTCACCTTTTGTAATTCGTATTAAGCGATTCATTTTAATGCATCCTTAAAGTTTTTTTTAAAATATGCAAACACCTTTAATCGTCTTATTTGAATCTACAGAAATGTCACAAATTCATCTGAAAAGCTCTCGAGTAATTAAGGAATTACTCTAATTCTTGGCCATATTATCGAGTATAATCTGGTTTGGGTCAGTTTACGCTTT